GGGTTGCAGGCCAGGTCCCCAGTAGGGGGTGTGCAAGAGGCAACTACACATTGATGTTTCTCTCCCTCTCTCCTCTCTCTAAAGATAAATAAATAAAATCCTTTTTAAAAAGATCAAATACAATCCTCCCTCCTAGAGACTATAATAGGGGTACTAAACCTAAATTCTAAGATAAAAAATAAAAATCAATCAAAGCTCATCAGTGGTCACTCTTTATCTTCTTCAACCTCCTTAGGATAGTAAAATGAGCTTTACAAGAGGAATATGGTAAGAACACTAAAAAATGAAGAAGTCCACTATCTCTTTCCTCCCCAGGCACTAGGTAAAAATATAAACTCAATTCTGAATATCTTTTGGTGAAGTTTGTTCTTTCTGCTTGTCTCAGAGGGAGTATAGAATTCATTCTTTTAACTTACTCTTAAATTTTTATGCTAAGATTCTCTGTTGAGTTCGAGAGTTTATTAAAAATTCAAAGGAACAATATTAAGGAAAATAAATTGAAGGGAGACGCATGTCAGTAAGATCTACTTTAGGAAAGAAGGGTTTTTGAAGTCTCTTGGGGATCAGATGGTCTCTAATGTACATAAATTCCACAATTTGAATTCATGATCCTATTTTCAATGGCTAATTGAAACACAATTAAAAAAGACTGAGCCTAGCATATAGGACTACCTAAAAAGTCATTGAAGAAAGGAAATAGACTCATAAATAGTTCAATTCTGCTATCATTACTTCTGTTGTGTTGCCACTAAAAATGGTGGTACACATTTCCAACTTCAGAGCACTGCTATGAATCTACAGTTAAGGCCCAAACATAGAAGAGGGAATGGAATAAAACATTTTCTGTTCTTAAGGCTGCAGACCATGCATTTGCTATGACTGTTTCTGAGACTCTAAGAAACTTGGACAATAATTCATTCAGCAGGGACTTAAGAAACTTTTGTGGTGGATTGTTGAAACTTGAAGGGAAATTGGTGACATAGTTAAAGCGATCTTTCAAACTGAATTTAGATTCAGTCATGGATTACAGAGATAAATCAGAAGTGGGCTGGATGAAATGATCAACCAAGTCCATTAGAAATGGGACTTAATCCCTCTCTTGTGTGGTGCTGTCCCTCTAATTGCATGGGAATTACTCCTTCACGGTCTTGCATCTTATTACTTACTTTTTAAAAAAACATGTAGAAGGAATACAAAATTATACAATGAAACACTTTATATGTCAGGAAACCCACTGTAAGATTTTATTCTAGGCGATAACTTCCTGTTTGACTTTGGGAGGTTATTTTATTTTGTTGGTCTATCCATATATGTTTTAAAATAGGATTAAAAATTAGGATAAACATAATTATCTTACATAATGCATCTCTTCTGTGAGGATTAATACCCTTAGTTTTTAAAATGAGGGTGCTTTACCCATACAAGAAAATTACTATCATTATTCTTTATGAATTTAAATGAGTATAAATCAGTTTTTCCAATTCCTGTCTCTTTTCATTTTAATGATGACTTTCCAACACTTAATTTTTCCTCCAATTTCATAAATGCTCTCATGTCTTAAGTTCCACCCATCTTGGCTCATACACACAGCATGTCTAATAAACGTTACCATGAGCTCAAAAGACAACAAGCTTAGACCTGTTATAACCACTTGCACTCTTACTGTGATTCTCAGTTTTCAATTTGACCAGGCCACAATTACAGTGGATGGCAGTATTAAATGAAGTCAGATACACCTAAAAAGTCATTCTTGGTGGTGGTTGTTTTGTTTTGTGTTTTTGAATCTGGGAAGGAATGGTGTGGAAGTAAGGTGACTTCAGGTAAGAACATAGTTTGCCACCAAGGAAAGTAAAATGGCTCCTTCAGTTGTTTCTGGGCAAGTGAGAATTCGACCAGGTTCTCCAGAAAAACCAAAACCCCCTCCCTATAGACTTTCCTTCTTTCCCTTTCTCTTGCCCAGACTTATCCCCCCCCTTCATTAAGTCTCCAGGGTGGAAAGCTGACAGCACAGCTGAGATCTGCAGTGCTGGGGGCCAGGCTTTCAGCAATGGGACAACTGCTACAGCAGAAGGCATTCCTCAGTACCTTGGTGCATTATTCCAGCCCCTCCACTCCAAGGTGCAGAGCATCTCTGTGCTACAGTGATCACCTGTGAGATCTGTAAATGCCCGAAGGGGGAAAGGAACACAGGGCTCCCTTATTTTTTAGTATCCCTACCACATTCCTCTCTTTAAGTTCACTCTACCGTCCTAAAAGGGGCAATTGCTTTCTGTAATTTAAAGGATAACATTCCTTCCGTATCTTTTAGAATCGGTTTCTCTACTGTGACTTCCCCTGCATACAAAACTCGACTAAAGGGCATCTCAACAAAAATTTTTAACGAAAACAACATACTAGTGTTTAAAAAGGATAATGTTATACAATAGCAGATTAAAAATTAAGATTAAGATATCACATGACCCCAAACTCTTCAGTGCAAACAGAACAAACAAAACCTTGCCTCCCCAGTTTAGACAAAGCTGCTTTACCAAAGCGAACGCATCTAGATCAGATCTCCCTTACAACAGAACACAGTTTAAAAGCGTCAGTATTCATTTCTTCCTAAACACGAGTTCAAATTTATCTAAAACCGAACATTGCCACAAGAGACCTCTAGGGCGCAACAAACAGGTACAGCTCTCGGAGCAGAGAAATGGCATCGTGACCCCTACAGTCAGTCGACGCAGATTGCAGTGCGGAGACTCTTCTCCCGAAAGAAACCAGACAGCCCAGCGTAAAATGCTTTAGTAGGAGAAATCAACAAAAGACGGGAAATTACTCTGAAACCCTTGGAGGTCTCCACCGCCAACCAAAGCAATTCATCAGGACTGACTTTTGACCCGACTTCTTGCAGAGAAACAGAGTGAACCGTCCAGGCGAGCCTCGCTGCGCAGTGCGCAATGCGGTCAGGGAGCGCAGGGCTGGCGCTGCCACACTCAAAACGTGCTCGGCTGCCGCAGAGCTCCGGGGCCGCGCGCCCTGCTACCCGCGACTCCGCGCGACTCCGCGCTCCGGGTTTCCGCGGTCACCAGCACCGCGCGGGAGAGCCCTGCCAGGAGGGGAACCTGGGCGAGCTGTGTCTCGGAGTCCCTAGAGCGTTGTCCCCCTCTGCGCAACCTTCCCGAGACGTCTGGCCTGCGGAAGTGTGTGCCTGGGCTCTGCGCCGGCCAGGCTGGCATTTTGCAAGAGGCCACCACCGCATCACCGCTGGAGGCCCTCACCTAGCTGGAGCTTTCGATGGCCACAGACTCATGAAGCAGTGGTTCTCCTGGGCTTCGCTTCAGTAGCCTTAAGTTCTTCCAAGCAGGACACTCCAGCTTGCAGCCAGGAGCAGCTCTCCTGGTGGTGATGGTTTGTCAGTCTAGAGCCGCGATTCTCAACCAATATGCCTCAAGAGTTTTTAAAACGTGCAATACTTGACTATTTAGTCAGGGGCACTGACCTCGTTTTCCTTAGTTCATCAAATCTAAAACAAACAAAGACAACACAGCCAACACAATAACCTTCTGGTGGAAATGAATCAAAATTATACCTTTTTTTCCTCAGATTGGCAAAAAAAAAAATTTGTTTTAGTACGCTGCAGAATTTTAGTAATTAGTTTATTTGTGCCATGAAGTGAAAAAGGTTGAAAATCGCTGGGCTAGAGTCCATTTGCCATAGTAGATGCTCCTGGCGTCCTCAGAGCCGAAAGGCCGATTTAGCCATTTTCCTGGGGGTGATGACGTGTGTGAAGGCTCTTGGCGAATTGGAAAGCTCTGCTCAAGGAGAATGTGCATCTTTGATCTTCACTGTGTCTCTAGAACTTCTCTCCCTTTAAAATAGAAGCCCCGCCTGAATGTAAACCTCAGGAGGGCTTTCGTTCACTGCGTGACCTCCAAAGCACAGAACAGTGCCTAACAGTAGGTAGGTGGCCAGTGAATAACATTTGAGTGAATGAAAGTGCAAACATATACACTTGAGGAAAATGATCAGGTTGGAAATGTGTGCGAATTCTTCTTGCTCTTCCGGGTAGGGAACTGACCAAACATTTACTGGGCACTACTCTTTGCCAAGTCTTCTAGGCTTTGGCAGGCCAGTGGGGAGCAGAGGAGGGCTGGCCACTAGCATTGCTGAAGGACCAAAAAATTGGGGCGACGTGTAAGATCACTTAGTTCAAGCCCTCAATCCTGGATTCCAAGGATGGTTCATTCATCCCCTCTCCTTTTCCCTCTCCACCACCCGCACTCCCCACTCAGACTCACTAAAAGCGTATGCAATAAGCATTTATTAAGTGCATACAGGGAGCGCTTATTAAACGTGTGTTGATGGTTAGCATGATTTGCTCCAGGGCCAGTCTAGGACCCAGCTCCCTCCAAAGCACATTTCTCCGTAGCCTTTCCAGGCCTGGCCCCTCCTGGGCACTGGGGTCCTACTGCAGGGCCTGGCTCCCAGTGCTCCCGGCATAAGACCCTGGGACACAATGGCCCATGCCAAGTGCCCACCGCTAGGGCTCCTTCACAGGAGCCCAGGTGATGGGCTCAGCTTGCTGGGGACGTTTCCTTCAGGGAAAGGGATTTCTGCAGTTTTCTCCTCCACCTGCGGCCTGACAGAAGCCGGGCTGGGGGCCCTCCGGGGCTGAGCGCGGCGGGAACGGCAGGATCCACGTGCCGCATCTCTGGCCTCAGCCTTCACCACCAACCTGGACACCCGCGGGGCGTGCTGAGCCCACGCCGCCTGCCCTCGCGCCCGTCCAGGTGCTGCTACTCTGAGTGCCAGGCTCTCTTCTCCTATCTACTTTCCTCTTGAGTTTCTGCTAAAATCTGGAGACGTGGAATTCACCGGCGGAAACTCCGAGCCCCTCCAACTGAGCATGCGCCAATGCCAGGCTGCTTTTGGTCACTCGCTCTCGAGTTAGCGGGAGGGGCGGGGGAGGCGAAGCGGGAGGGGTGCCCGGCGAGGCGGCGGCTCGCGCGCCTGCGCACCCAGCTCCAGCGACCCCAGGTTTTCTATGGGATTCCCAATCTGCAGCGGAGATTTACCGGAGCGTGTTGCGGCTGCCGCTGGGTTTGGAAGGCGCGATCCAAGAGGGATTTAAGCAGCCTAGAGCTCCAAAGGATAAAAAAGAGCGCGAGAGAACCACGCACAGAGACGGCTTAACCGTTTGCCCGAATTAAATATATATAAAGAACTGTTGAGTGTTGTCATTTTCGTTAGGTGACCGTGCACAGCGCTGTAACTGTAAGTAGAAAAAACAATGTTCGTTGCATTCTGCATGTGTAGTGCAGCCAATTGTCCGGGAGATGTTTTGGTTATTGTCACATACTTTGCTTTGCATATAGATGCGTCTGCATGCATGGTGACAGTTGCCTTGGTTAGCACTGGCCGTCTGAATGTGCTGTTAGTCCAGGGGGGACTTTTTGGAATAATGGGGTGGGGGAAGGGGGAGTGTTTATATACGGTATGTTTAGGGTGAGAGGGAATTGTCTTCGGCTAGATTTAAGAAAGGTGAAACAGAGGTGATTTTGTAGTTCAAGCCTAAAATAGGAGGATTTCCTTACAGATATGTAAGTAACTAATCGACAGATTGGGAAGTTTTCCGGTTACTGATAAAACTACTGAGCGGTTGCAGTCAAGTAGCAACCTGTCATTCGCAGGGTTGGTGCGGCATTTTTCTCACCGTGGAATAGCCGTGAAGGTGTTTGCTCAGTAAACCTGAGTGCACGAGATGGTGTGGAGCGCAGGGCTGGCTTCCAAGCGGGATGTGAGTGTTTAGAAGCACGCAGCCCGAGGCAAAATAAGCACATTTCTCCCAGTATGTAAAAATGAGTGGATAATGTTTCCTTTTTGATTTTTCGTCAGGATGGTGAGTGGGCAGAAAAGGGACAGATGTGCCACCGCGCAGTCAGCCGTCTATTTTGAACAGACTCTGAGACACAGAGCGGCTGAATGGGGAGTCAGATCCAAACTAGTATTCTGCCTTTGCACCCCGTGTTCGCATTCCGGAATGCGGCGTTGGGAAATGTGCACCCAGACGTGTTACATTTAGTAGTGTTTCTTTAAAGGAGGAAAGGTCATTGTGTGAATGTGTGTGTGTGTGTGTGTGTGTGTGTGTGCGCGCGCGCGCGTGTGTTTTGAGATAGATTGCTCCTTCCCAGAAACGGGAGAAGGGTCTTTGCAAGGTCAACCCCCCTGTGGAAATGTGAGGTGCTGGTGAATGGGGGGGACAGGGGAGGCTGCCAGAGGAAACGGTGATGCTCCGTGCAAGTGCTCATCACAGCATTGCACGGATCAGTGCCCAGTGAGACGCAAGAGTAGGAATCCATTTTTCTAGAGTTGCCCTCCTGTCCATATTTTGGAGGCTAAAATGAAATGGAAATGCAGTGGGTGTAGAATACAAGTATATACTATCTGTGTTTCACATCCCACTTTAAGACAAAGACGAGCAAGGGAGATGCATTTCTAATTATTATTATTATTATTATTATTATTATTATTTTAATTTAAAAAATTTCAGCTTACGGCAAATTAAAAAGGAAACTCTTATGAAAACACATTTTATCTCCAGTACCATCAAAAGTGCCTACATGTGTGAGTGGTGGTGGTGGGTGGGGGGGGGGGGCAAGGGGTTCTGCATCACTGAACATGTTACCCATGAGTGCACGCACATTAAGCTTGGGTGTTTAATAACCCTAGAAAATGCTGCGCTGAAGCAGGTTGGCAGAATGGAATGAGGCAGGCAGACAAGGAAAGAAAGAGCATGGCCAGTGTGTGCTGAATTGCCACAAAAAAGGGGCAGATCCAATTTCTGGGATGAAATGAAATAAAATTTTCCCAAAATAGGGCCGCTCATCATAAGGCCCTTTGCCCTTTTGCCAGTCCAACTATTTAGAACCTACTCAAAGGAATTTATAATTTATTTAAATGGATGAAATTTTAAATAGAAAATTTGAGAATATCCTCTCCTTGGAAAACCAAAGTATAAATTATACTTCCTTCTCTGTTTTTCCCTTCCTTAATCAGGGCAGAAGGAGCAATCATTTGTCACAATTGAGCCATACCCCTTGTCATCACTGAGAGTTGAATCAGCTCCATGAGTAGTGCAGGTGTGCACTGCACTGGTAATGGGTGGGGGAAGAGGGAGGGAGAGTCTGGTATTCAAGTTCACAGACATAGGGTCTCAGATACCCTGGTTCACAGGTGGACAGTTATAGAGGGTCACATCTGGCCCAGACCTTCAAAAGCATCTAGTCCAAATGAGGAACTGAGGCCCAGAGCCATGAGCAAGGGAAAAGTCAATTAACTTGTAGTTTGTGGAATAAACAATTAGAAAGTAATATTGAACGGAAATGGGCCCTTCTCTCAGCACTTTTAGCATCCTCAGTGACATTGCCGAATTCTTCAAATACATAATTCTTTGCTCCTAAAACATCTTTTGAGAGGGTCCCAAGGGTTCCTTTTCACACTATAGCACTTCTCTGCCTCTCCTCACTTGTAAGGCTTCTTTTATTTCTTTTCTATTGCCCCTCACCTCTAATAGGCCCACCTCTTACATGTTTAATCTGGCCTTCCTGGCTTCTTCTGTACCTTAGTTAATTTCTTCAGAATTTTGGAGTATTTTGAAAGAGCAGGCAAACCAGTCTGATCTCAGCTCCTGTTTGAGGACTGCCCAGCCCCATCTCTATCCCCTCCCTGCTGCGTTCCCAGAATGCTCAGGGAACCCCGCCTTCAGAGACACTGCAGGCCCCATGCTCATTCTTCCACCTTCTTGCCTCCTCCTGAACTGCTGCAGCTACAGGCACTGGGACATTGTGGAGTGAGGAAGCTGCGGTGTAAACACACCGTGGGCTCTGCCAGCTCTCCTCTGCCTCCTAGAAGGCAGACTCCAAATCCAAGATGCCTGTCTCTGGCCTTCCTGGAACTCCTCCAGATGAAACCACCTTCAGAGAAGGGGAGGAGGGGGGGACAAGAAGATCGAGAGAAGAGTGCTTGACTGGCTCAACCTGACCAGACCCTATAGAGGCCAGCAGTGCAGCTTTCAAAAACCTTTAGAGCCTGCCAAGGGCGTGTGGGGATCTTCTCCTAAAGTCCTCTTCTCTGTCTTGCTGGACAGGGATTGCAACGCAGGCAGTAATACCTGCCTGAGGGACCCTTCTCTTTGCTCCTTTTTTTTTCTCCCTTTCCTTCACTTGCTTTCTCTATTTTCCCCATTCTCCCATAAAAATTCCCTGAGTGTCTGTATAATAAAGCTCCAGACATTTTTAAAGTAACCCATGTCTTCCTGTTCCTTCTTCAAAAATGTAATCTCTCAGGCACTGAGAAAGATAACCCAAACCAAACACAAATGTCCCCTTGAGGGAAATGCCAGGGATTCTTACCTTAAAAAGCCGAGGCATTAGAGGACTCGAGAGGAAGACAGAGTCTGAGTCTCTGTCTCATTTGAGAGAGTAGCTAATTCCCTTAGATGGGAGATGTTGAGGAAGCAAGGTGATGAATTTCTCAACAGGTTCACCATTTAACAAGTTAATCTAACCCCTCTCCTCATGGCAAACCTTTACTCAATTGGGAAAAGCTCTCTCTTGCATAGTCTGTTCCTAACAACTGCTCTTGCATCACATGTCACCTGGTCTTGCCATCCCATCCTGAAAATAAGCATTCCAGGATTATTCTGAACACCAGGTAGCCTCTCCAGACAGCAGAGACTTGTAGCTGTTAAGTACCCTGCTTTGATTTGCCTGGCTATGGATCTCCTTCCACAACAGGCTAACCTGATTAGAAATGCTGTCCTGGGGAAGCTATAGGCTTTCTATTTGGGTTGCAAATGGCTATGGATTCCAAACATTGCTGAGAAGCCCTGTGGGGAGCCTCACAGAATAACAGTATAACATTAAGGTCAAATGCATGGTTTCTTAATTCACAAGGGCAATATATTTTAATGTCACTCTAAAGGCCTTTTTCTTTGTATTGAGTGATTTCTGTATTCCTAAGATTAGTGATTATTTAGGAAGATAGGAAGGTTCTTTTTTAGAAGGAATCACGTTCAGTTAATCTAAGATTGAAAGTAGCAATGTCCATTTTGTTGTATGTAGTAGATATAAATATATTACATTTGCTAAAGTATCAAATGATCCAGAGATAAATTAATAAATGATTGATATTTCTATTATCCCAGGGATTAATCCATATAGCTAATAGACTATATGAGCCAGAAGAGATCCATGTAAATTACTGAGACTATCCTTCCAATATATATTTTTTTAAAAGTACATTAAGGAATGGTTTTATCTTAAAGATATATATACCATATGAGAACACAGTCCACAAGACCTGAGATTTCAATGACCTTTTTCATATTTCCACAATATCTGTACAATGGCTTTTATAGTAGATACACTATAATATTTGTCAATTAAATATTTCTTCTAACAAGAATCAGTTGTATGTACCTTGTTAATTATATTAAGAAATTAAAAAGCACGTGAGCAATTAACATTGCCATAAATATCTTTGTTACTAAAAAGAAAAGCTAGACTAAAGATTATTTTATAATTTATTTTCAGTAAAGATATTAAGCACTATGCTAATACCTTCAAGAGTGCTTTTTAGCCCACTCACATGAACATCATCCTTTTAATCTCTTACTAAGTAAAACTATAAATTATTTTTACCTCTTCTCTAGAGTTGATACTAATAATTCAGAGGCAGTGTAAACCTAGACTATGGTAGCTAAGTGCACCACTCTTTTAGATGATGGGTCTCTTGAGCTGTGGAATTATTTTAACATGTTCACCATGTGAGGGGACCGACCATAACACTACATTTCTCATTGATGGTTGGTTTCTAAAGATAACTTATGTTCTCTTGAGTGAATCAAAACAGTTTGAGTTGCTCACAGCTTGATTCACTGAGAACTTCACAAATGGGATGCTTAAGGAACTACTTAATGAATGAAACAGAAATGGAATAGCAAATTACTGAAGAATCCTCAAAGAGGTTTGACACTTTAATAATAAGGTACCTGTGAATACATTAAAGAGATGTTCTATACCCTGATCAGCTAACTTAAAGCATGAAAGTCAGATGATTTGTTATGACTCTTACGCTTGCTCTGTCTTTCTCAACTGCCTTACTTCACTGCAGTTCTAACACAGATGACCTGCTGTGTAACCACCAATTTTTTATTTCTTAGAAGACAATGTGCTGTATTTCTAACCATTTGCTGCATTATTTTCAGGTGAACA